TTGTGTCATGGTCAAATAATAATTGAATCGAATATTCTTCCACTTGGAGAGTTAACAGAAGAAGCCCAGGAAGCGAGGAATCGAGATTTTAAGCATGTTCAACTATTCAGCTCAAGAAAATGCTCCAGGCAATCACAGAATGAAGATATTTTTAATAGTTTACTTCTATCTTCTGATCCTGTTCTTTCAACTATGCGAAAAAGATGGATTTGTTATGAAACTCTATCATCTCAAAACAAGGAAGATTTAAAGGACTTATATTACCTTCTGGATATGTATACCGATATGACAGATTATTTTATAGAAAATAAGTAGAGTTAGGAATTAACTATATAAGTAGGTTGTAAGAATTAATTGTATTATGTTTAAGATAAACAGTTCAAATAAAAAAAGCTATTATACTAACTGATGATATTGTATTAAATTGTGTTTTATATTTCGGTGGGCGGGAAAGGTAATTTGTGTGGGGTGATTTAGGTGTTGTTGTGCGTGGCTCATAATAAAATTATAATTTTTTTAGAGAGATTTTAAGCATGTTCAACTATTCAGCTCAAGAAAATGCTCCAGGCAATCACAGAATGAAGATATTTTTAATAGTTTACTTCTATCTTCTGATCCTGTTCTTTCAACTATGCGAAAAAGATGGATTTGTTATGAAACTCTATCATCTCAAAACAAGGAAGATTTAAAGGACTTATATTACCTTCTGGATATGTATACCGATATGACAGATTATTTTATAGAAAATAAGTAGTGTTAGGAATTAACTATATAAGTAGGTTGTAAGAATTAATTGTATTATGTTTAAGATAAACAGTTCAAATAAAAAAAGCTATTATACTAACTGATGATATTGTATTAAATTGTGTTTTATATTTCGGTGGGCGGGAAAGGTAATTTGTGTGGGGTGATTTAGGTGTTGTTGTGCGTGGCTCATAATAAAATTATAATTTTTTTATTTTATATACAATATTATAATAAAATAATTAACTAAATAATTTTTAAAAATTGTCCAAATATTTTATTCAACACCAAATGTATGTTCTGTCATACTTAATACTAAAATATGAAAAAGATGAAATTAAAGGACACAGGTTTAAATGAACATATTTTTGAATGTAATTGAGATATTGGCTTGAAATTTTTTGTAAAGGGTCGAGAATTTCCATATCTAACTAAAAAATGATATTAAGGGATAAATATGGACTAAATTGTTGTAGCTATCTGCGATCCTATTAAAATTTTGATATAAATCATAGTTTTAGAAATTAAACAAATATGTAATATATGACAAAATCTTTATTTATGAACAAAACTCAATGAAATTTTCAACGCTTGTTAAATTTGTCATTTCAAATAAGAATATGCAAAAAAAAAAATGAAAAGGTCAAAGGGCATCCCGCAATTCCCAAAAATAGGAATGAAAATCCCAAAAATGGGATTTTTTACTTTTTTGCCCATAGGGTCCACATTTCTTTCAGGGCTGGGAAAATACTTTTGGAGTAAATAGAAAACATATTGAGGTTTCCAAAACTGCTTTCAGTTTTCTGATCCCAGCTTTGGGATTTTAGAACATGTCGCCCAAAGTTGAAGTTTTGATAAAAAATAGGTCATATTCGGAAGGACGCAGTGGCAACATTTTCAAAAAATAGGACAAGTTTTTTACGCCAAAGCGTTCTGCGTAAAGATACCTTTTAGAAAACTAAAATTGTTATATGTTCTTAATAAAAATTTTATTTTATTAATAAAAGAGTTAAGACACATTTTTGGCAAAAAAATGCCAAAAAATGTATATTTTTGGATCTGTAAACAATATTGATCTGAAATTTTTTGTATATTATTGGAAATTTTGTTGTCTAACTAACAAGAAAAAATTGAGTCCATTTGGTCCAAAATTACGCCCGGTATTCAAAAAAAGGCGGACCAAGGTATGGTAAATTTTGTATCACTAAATTTTTATATGCCTATAACTCGGATATTATAAGAGATAAGTAGTATGTCCAAGCATGTTTTTTCAAGATCTCGTCGAGCGCTTTCACAAAATATAAAAATCTTTGTATTTGGGTGAAAAACAAAAAAATGGCACGAGTTTAAAAATTTTACATGTCGTAGGTACCCTACTTTGAGCCGCCACAGCGCCGTCCCTGGGGCATCTGCAGGGTTCATCTTCAAAACTTAAACTCGAATACTCCTTGGCTACGCTCACACCAAATTTTATCCCGATCGGATCAGCCGTTTAGAAATGCCAGATTTATTTCCAAAAAATTTCCATTCTGCCCCACTGTGGCGTGTTAAAAGAAATTGTGCGTATTTTATTAAAAGAAAATATCATTTGGAAAACGAACAAGTAAGAGTATTATATTCGACTATACTATAAACATCAGGGTGTTATTTGGAATGGACCAAAAATAGTCTACAACAATTTTAAGATTATTTTTCCCTTAATCAACTCAAAATTGCGGAATTTTTGAAACCCATTTTAAAAAAATCGAAGATATTTTATTTTCAAAAATTATTCTGAGGTTAGGATTTTCAATCGCTGATAGCGAACTGAGGACCATTCCAAAAAAAATGTTTTTATTATTTTTTGTGTTCAGTACATTAATATGCATCGATTGAGAAGTATTCCTATATGAAGCTCTTAAAAATGCTTTTTCCTCAGGAAATGCTTTTTCCTCAGGAAATTTGCGATCATCGCGGGAAAAATAATTAAAATGTTTGTCAGAGCATTTCTGGTTCGCAAAACGTCTTATAGTGGTAAAAAAATGGAATATCTCCATTTTTTTCACAAATTATTTGAGGTCAAGATTTTCACTTGCTGGTTGGGTACGGTACGTTCCAAAAAATATTATTTATATTACTTCTGTTCAGAGATAGAGAGGTATACCTATACGGTGTTCCTCGGAACACTCTAATATACATACATTATACTGAAGTCAAAAGAAGTTTTACTTTGAATTTATTTATAGTTTTTCTTTTTTGTTTTGTATGGATTTTGCCAAATAGTGTATCTTAAACTTCCTGTTGACCTTATTTTACCTGCAGATGTTTTTTTTGTGACTTTCTGCCATTTTATTGTGTTTATATGTTACTGAGCCAATAAAAAATCTAAACCCAACTTTTCAATTTGATTTAGTTGTAAAAGTTTTCGAAAAGGTGTTTAAAAAATTGTTGTCGAAGTATGTTTTTTTTTTTAATTTATGTATTTTGTTAGTGTTTGTATTTAGTTGATTTCTTTTCTATTTTTAAGGCGTCTAAAATAAAAAGTTTTTACGTTTAAAATTGTTTTTGTATTTAGTAACGGCCTAAATTTCTTAAATTTAGAAATAAACAAAATAAATTTAAATTTTTGCTAATATTTGCCTACGAATATTCAAACGAAATTAGGGACATACATATATAGATATGTAGATTGAGTGTGGTTTTGATTTACAAATTTTTAATAGATCTTGTGACTTTTTTCTTATGAATATATTAAATTATGGAAAACCAAAAACAAAAAACAATGTTTATTAATTAGTTAAAATTTAAAATACAATTCACTTAATTATTCAGAAGCATATAAAACCTGCTGTCAATGCGAGGCTGAAGTGTGTATAATGGAATTGTCATATTATATTTAGAATTGAAATTTAAATATTGTTTATTTTTAAACTGAAGAAATGTGCTACTGAATTAAATAAAGAGAAAATGTATTTTGTATAATTTTCAACAATCTTTTAAAAATCAATCAGAAAATGCGTTTATGTGCTTATAAGTTTATTGCTTCACAAAACATGTAGTTTCAAAACCCAAACAATTTACAAATTAAATGGATTCGATAAAAATTGCCTTTTTGGACTCTTTCCTTTTTTTGAAATGAAAGCAATAAAAAATCGATTTTTCTTTTATGCCTTTAAATAAAACAACATTTCCATTTGTTTTCTTTTCAAAATAGTATTAACGATATGAGTTTGTAAAATATTTTTTCCTTTTAAGTAGAAACAGAAACATACACTCAAATTTGAAATCAAGAAGTTGTTTTTAGTCTGTTGGATGGGATAACTGGCTGTTGAATAGTAAGTTTACAGTATGAGAAAAAAAATATTAAATATTCGAGAGATATATTATTAAAATGTTCAAAATAATAATTCATATTTAGTTTATGTCGAAAAAGTTATTTTTTACGCCAACTCTCTTTTGTCTTAATTAAATTTACATAATAGAATATCTAAAAATTAGTAGTAGATACAAACTAATCGTAACATTGGTAACAGCTACAAAGACTTTATAATCAAATCCCAAAAAAAAATTAATATATTGTATGAAAAAATATATGTTTATTCGTAAACAACATTTATTTTATAAAACAAAATTTCCACACAACATTTTAGGCCTTATTCATAACAATTTATCAAAGGTCTTATAAACCTTTGATACATTTTTATGAATTAGGCCTTTAATTTATAAACCGTTGATAAAATACTTTTTATGAGTAAGGCCTTTATGCAATAACACCCTATACATGTTTTGACTCTTATGTAATTTTTATATTTATGGATTAAATGTTGGCCGTGAGAAATGTTAAGGATTCTAGCACTAATAGTTTCTCAGTTATACGAATATTTATATTTAATTCAAATATGTATGTGGTTTCACGCCTCCTATTGTTGGTCCGGCCACTTTTGCTCCAAATGTTCAAATGGATGTTAGATTTTTTCTATTTAATTCAGATGGGAGATGTGATACCCATATTTGTAGTCCATCATACATTTTTCTTATGTTGAATTGTTCTCGAATTTAGTAAATTTAATTGAATTATTTACTTCTATTGTAAATTTGGGTACTTCAATATACAGTATTTTAAGGTCGACTTAAACGATTAGAAAACATTTTCTTAATTTGTTTATTTCTCACTCTCTCTCTTTCCCTTACATGATTTGTTTGAATTAGAACATTGATAACATGTAAACTTTTGTTTTAAATTAATTTAGTAAAGATATAAAAGCTGCTGAAATTACAACTGCTCTTTTCAGTAGATTTTATGTTATTTCGCAACATCATCCGTAAAATCAAACAAGATCTATTTTTTAAAGATGTGGTGTTTTTATAAAGTTGTGTTATTTTGTGGAATTCTGGTTTTGATGAGTATTTTTGCAGAATCGACAGCAGACGAATCAATGGATTTAGTTAACGATGGTGTAAAAAATAGTCCATTTTCATTTTTTTCAAGAATAAGGGGTAGAGCTGGAGCAAATTTTGTGCCAATATTTGACTTCTCGTCTTTGTTTAACAGTAAAGCCACTAAATCACCAGTACCATCTAAAAAGCCAACGAAAAGGCCGACGAGAAGACCTACAAGGAGACCAGTTCACAAACCACCATATTATCCGCCATATTATCCTCCATATTACCCTCCTCCACTTCCACCACCATCTCATTATCCATATCCACCCCATTATCCATATCCACCACATTATCCATATCCACCCTATTATCCACCGCCGTACTATCCACCAGCAACGACTCCATCTACAACAACAAGCACGACGAGCTCAACAACTACAACAACTACTACGACCACAACAACACCTCCGCCTACAACAACAACTACAACGACCACGACTACAACACCACCTCCAACAACGACCACCACTACAACACCACCTCCAACAACAACTACAACAACGTCCCGTCCATCCCGACCACCGTGGTGGCCATTTCCGTTTATCCAACCGAATGCTGCCGCACTTCCCGGTACTCGTTGGCAGTTGGTTTTAGATCCCAACTCTTACCAAAGGAGTAATAGACGCAGAAAATCCAAAGTTGGTCAATCCTCTGGGTATAAATTTTGGCTAAAGTAAAACTCAAATTTCAACCGAAGTAGAAAATTTATACATTAGTAATTAAATTAAAGTTGCGAATAAAGAAAATTTGTTAAACACTTTAATATGCAAATGTTTCTATATTTAATTCCCATAAAAGTAATACTGATTTATATATTTATTAAAAAATTATGAATCGAAATTTTAAAACTATTAATCTAAAGCAATTCTCTAAATACACAATCATTGGTTATGAAAATTTGTATATAACTGTGAAATTATTTATTTTTATTAAGCCACAAGACCAGCAAAAATAAAGTGAAGTACTTCCAAAAGAATAACATTTATCACCACTTCAAAAGTAGCAATTAGTGAATTTTTTTACCTTCTGTGGAAGTGATGTTTAATGACTTCCGAAGAAGCGAAAATAATTCTGTTTTTCCAATGCTGAAGATATTTTTTTGTTCTTACATTTTTGTGAGATAAAAAAATGTATTTTTGTGCTTCTGTTTTAAATGCATCTATTATCCTTATTAATGTTAATATTATTTAAGTCAAATTAATTGTACTCCATAATATTACAATTTCACTTCCGAATAACTTCTAAAAAAATAGCATAAAAATTACTTCTTAAGAATGACTTCAGAAGTAGTGAATTTGGAATCAAATAAAAGGACATCCTTCCTATGACAAATCTGTGTTAAAATCATCACTTCTTCAGGTCTTTTTCAGTACTTCCATGGAGAAAATTCTACTTCTTTTTCGCTTCTTTGAAAGTTCTTTTTTTGCTGGGTGTGATTATTGTATCCATAATCTACAACACAATTAAATTACGACATAATTTTATATACGGGCAATTTCGTGTCAAGTGATCAATGTCTTCCGATTTGGACGAAATTTGCACCACGGTTAGTACTATTAAATTGTAGTCCAGTCATAAATAATAATAAAAAAATTGGAAACAATGAAGAAATAGCTGTGTGAACCCTTTGGACTATTAGTTGAAAAATTACACTCATTTGAATAAAACCCTGTATGACCAAAATGTCCAACTTAGATCCCTCTAAGTCCGGCAGTTCTTGACCGATAGAAAATTTGTGTCTGGCCTACTATCCAATAGTACTAACCTTAGTGAACATTTTATCCAAATCGATTTTTTGAATTGGGTCACTTGACACGTAATTGTCAATGCATACATATGTAAATTTGTTATTATTAAATAGCCTAGGAAAATAACAGTTTTGCTGTGGAATTTTATATAGCTAAATGAAAATTGGCTCATACTTTTCCTTGCCATTCTAAATAAGGTATTATTAATCGTGTGCGCTAAGCGAGATACGAATATCTCACTTATTATAAGTCGTATGCGTTTTGATGCTATTATAATTTCTATAAAGAATTAAATTCCCTACATTTTAGTTGTAGACTCTTTTCACATAACATTAGTTGTTTTGAAGCTATAGTGCATTATTTTTTCATTGCAATGATATTTTCAAATCATAATAATTTTAACTCCGATACAGATTATGTCCCATTTTTTCTATCTAATATTAGCTAAAATGCATAAATAATTTCTGTTACATTCATTGTCACCGGATCACTCTCTGACCCATAGTGCAATGCCCGTCTGTCCGAAGTTTGGATTCACCAACCGATATTTTTTCTGTGTGCACGTTTACTGATCATAATTATATATATATAATTTTAATAATATCCATAGTCAGAGGTCAGAACAAGGTTTTTTAGAAATCGAATCAAGGGTTTAACTTCCATCCAGCCTGTTTGAATTTTCAAAACCAACAGTTTACGAATACTCAGTTTAGCGAATTCGGGATTTAACGAACGCAAATTAAATCCGTAATTTTTTTATTTTAATATGAAAACAATTTATGTATCTTTAATAAATTTCGCATTAAAATACCGATAGTTTTTACATAAAATAATAAATTAACCTATAAAATTGAGATTTAAAAGCGATTTTAATGGATTCGCATTTTGGCCAAAGCTGTATATAAGCCCTTATTGAGGCGTAGGGATTTACGAAATTTGTGATAAGAGATATTTTAAAAATGTTTTCTTGAAAGATTCAATTCAAAAATTAGAACTCAAAACTTTTACTTTTGTTTACGTTTTTTTTTTATTCGTACATAATTAAGGAATTTCATTATATTTTTATTGAATTTGGATAAAAATTTAAAGTATGCATACATTTGCTTTTGCACATGTGAAGATATGCGATTTTGTTATTAATGCTTCTTAACAATTCACAAAATCGAAATTTAATTATTCATTTTGTATTAATTAGAGCAACCTATTCTTTTACATCAATTTTAATTCTATTCTAAATATGTATGTATGTATATTTTAGGAATAAATAAAATAAGAAAATAGCATTAAAACTGTAACACATACATATTCATTTTTTCATTCTCGGTATCAGATTCTATCTCATTCGATGTAATTAATATTCATAAGTTTCTTTAATGTTTGTAATGAATTGATACATATTATTTAGTTTTATTTTTCTTGTGGTATAAAAGACCAGAAATCTTTACACAAATAGTTTTTTTGTCATTTAGTCCTCCATTGATCGGTTGTACAGGTGGCTTAAATGATGTTGCTCAAATTTGCGGCGGTGTTAGCCATTGCAGTTCTTCTTTTACAAAGTGTGTTAACAGAACCGGCACGGAAAAGGAATAAACCTATTTCTAAAAATGATGTTTATTCGTTAAACGGATTACAAGCTCGCGTCATAGGGAATCCTGTTGTAACGACGTCGAATAATAATTTACCTACTAGTATTGTAATACCACTTAATTTGGACCAATTTGGTAATTATTTTTTAAAATACAAATATGTGACAACAACATCAACGCCAATTAAACCTTCAAGGCCTACTAAACCGTCAAAGCCAACACGTACGCCAAAACCTAAACCTCCACCTTACTATCCTCCGTATTACCCACCTTATTATCCACCGCCTTACTATCCACCACCCTATTATCCACCGCCATATTATCCATACCCACCAATAACAACAACTACTAGGAAACCGAAAACTACAAAAACTACAACCAAGAAACCAACTACTACTACTACTACAAAAACTACAACAAAGAAACCAACTACAACGACAACTAAAAAGCCAACAACTACAAGTACTACTACAACAACGGAAAAACCTACTACAACAACTACCACTACTACAGAAAAGCCAATTACAACAACAACTACCACTACTACAGAAAAGCCAACTACAACTACTACTACAGAAAAGCCAACTACAACGACTACTACAGAAAAACCAACTACTACTACAGAAAAGCCAAGTACAACAACTACTACAAGATTTCCATCATGGTGGCCATTTCCAACTCTAAGACCTAATACACGTTGGCAATTAGTTCTGGACACACCATTTGCGTTTAATAGAAGCATAAGGAGCAAATAATTAAAAAACTCTTTTCATCTCATATTAACTTATTAACTAGATAATTCTAAAAAAACAAATAAAAAAGTATTAAACAAAATATAAAAATAACCTACCAAAACAAAAACCCAAAATAGAAAAGTTGGCTAGAAAAAATGTTTCAGTTAATTAAAAAAATAATTGAATCAATTAAAAATTATATCGAACTTGTAAACATAGGCAAATAAAAAAATCCTTAAATAAAAATAAAAGAAGGAAGAAATTAAGTTATTAAAAAAACTGCAATTCTTAATGGTTTTTAACAACAGTTATTAAAAATGTATTTATTTGTTCATTACAATACAATTACAAATTATGTTCCAACCTAATTTACCGACGATGACCATACGTAGTGTAGCAAACCATAGTCTCTGGTGGGAATCGAACCCAGACTGACAGGCTAGCATACTACCAAATAGCTTGCCCTTATTAAAAATTAAACTCTGAAGAAGGAAGGATCCTTGTATGCGGGGATCTGTAGAGAATAATCGATTTCAACCAATTTTGATATTTTGCTAGAGGTTTCATCGATCTCACTCTTAAATTTTTACCCAAATTCTTTTTTGTTGGTATTATGTACTTTTGTGTGGTTCTTTTTGGCATTAAATAAATAATTTTTAATTTTATTGTAAAGGAATCTTAATGTACACAGCACAATAATTTCAGAAATGAAAAACAAAAATTGGTTAAAAAATTTAGAAGTTATTTTTAACTTAATATACATTTATAATTACTGGAATATGAGTTTATGATAATATAAAGTAAAGCTGCTCATAGTTATGATCAACAAACTTTGATTTTTTAACCGGCTGAAAGAATTGTCTGGCCTACTTTCCTATTTTGTTTTGTTTTCATATAATAGAATATTAATAATTCTTAACAAATAAGAATGTATAGTCGGGCATGGCCGACCAGTGAATAGTACATAAAAAATGTAAATTATTTTAGATAATAAAGCATTTATGTTATTTATTGCCTTCATTCCGAAATATTTTCATAATTTGTTGACAAAAAAAATATTTTCTGAAGGAGAGGTTATATCCTTATAAATATTGGTAGAGTGTGTCACGTTTTCATTAAAGTTATTTATATAGAAATTTATCGTGATACTAGTAGTTATAAGTAAATTATAGACCTTCAAGTAATTTTCAGAAAGAGTCTTTGTATGGGGCTAGGGTCAAATGAGACCCGATCATTACGAAAATCGGCAGTATCATTTAGACTTATATAAAAGTAGGAGGATAGGTGAAACAATTGACCGATTTCAACCATTTTCAATAGCATTCGTTCTTGGGTCAAAAAAGGGTTACATGCCAAATTTTATCAAATTATCTTCAAAATTGTAGCGTGCACATATAGTTTAAATGGACACACTACTATAATGCTGTAGGGTATAAGTATATAGTCAGTAATATCTTTTGTAAATGCTAAACGTATTGTTATAGTTAGAGCATTCCTTTGACATTGTTGAATATTCAATTAATACATTGATTGTTTTAAGTATTAAATTAATTAAATTATTTTTTTATTACTTAATTTATTAATAAATAAATAAATTTGATCTCGATAAAATGTTAAATTCAGTAATTTAACGTTTTTGTTTAATTTTGTTAAAATTGGAAAAAGTACAACTTTGATAATTGTTAAAATAGTTTTGGTGATATTAAATTTTGATTGGAAAATTTACTTTTTCACTGAAGAAATATATATGTTTGTATGTATTTACAACATTTTTAAGTCAAAATTTTTACCATTCGAAAGTTTTTGTTTTGGATAATACCAACACTCTTTTCGAATATACCATTTAGAAATTGCAAACAATTCCAATTAAGGGGAAATGTGTATAAGCCTTGTGAATAAAAGAGTAGATTTGGCCAATTATAAATAAAAAACAAGTAAGAGTGCTATATTCGGCTTTGCCGAATCTTATATACCCTTCACCATAGTGTATTTAATAAATTTCAATTTCATAAAATTTAAATGTATTTCATTTTCCCGACTATATCATTATTATAGCAATAGCAAAACAAAATGAACAACAACAATGCTAAACGAAATAACCACACAAAAAACAAAATACACAAGGCAGTAAAACCAACAGCATCCAAACATAAGAAACGAAGTACATAAAAAAACAAAAAAATCCAAACATACGAAACTGAATACATCAAGAAACAAAAACAATATACACAAGGCAATGAAACACACAGCCATCCAAACATATGAAACGAAATACTCAATGAATAAGCAGTGTTGTTGTTGTTGTTATATGTATATGAAAGCATGGAAAAATTTGTCTTTTTTATGAAATTTTCAGAGGTTGTCTCGGATTTTTGCTCATATCTCCGGTATTTATGGACCGATTTTGCTGATTTTAAATAGCGATCTTCTCGAAAGCATGTCTAACAGAATTATTGAAGATTCGGATCTCGCCGATACTGGGGTCCTCTAAAAACTGATTTCAACAAACACACAGACGGACAGACAGACAGACGGACAGACGGACAGACAGACAGACAGACGGACAGACAGACAGACAGACAGACAGACAGACAGACAGACAGACAGACAGACAGACAGACAGACAGACAAACAGACGGACAGACAGACAGACGGACACAGCTTAATCAACTCCGCTACCTATAAGGATCCAGAATATATATACTTTATGGGGTCGGAAAATTATATTATAGAAATTACGAACGGAATGACAAACTTATATATGTATACCCTTCTCACGAAGGTGAAGGGTATAATAAACATTTAACATTTTGGCAATAATATCATTTCGTTAATAAAGTTAGGCGTTTTAAGTTTAAATATTGTATTTGATTCAATTTCACTCTATCCTTATCATAGCCACACAAAAAATAATCCTTTGATGTTAAATCGAATGATAGAGCAAGCCAAATTAAAAATGATTTTCTCCAAATTATCTAATCCGCAAATTAATTTGCAATCAATTAAAAAAAAATATGGGCTAAAATTTTCTTGTTAACATCACTCGATATTAACCGTAACCGCATTTCGAGCCGATTGTATAAGCGGACTTTTATGTTTTTTATGTGATTTTCGAGCGAAATTAAATTCATAGTAAAATTTGCCAAAGCCTGTTAAAAATAGGTTCTTGTTAAATTACGCTTCACATCTGTGATGAATCAAATGCTTGACGCCGTTTGCCTCTTTACACTAGGGTCGCTGCAATTAAGTATTAGTACCTAACAATATTCCGTTATAATGCTTATTTTGACAATTTGTACGATAATACTTTTATTTACACATATCACTATGTTAATATATTATAATACTATTAAAATGAACAATATTTCTAAATGTTAACTAAAACTAGATAATAAATACATGATGACCATGCTTAAGTATGTAAATAAATTATTATCAATGTACATATGTATGTGTATGTTGTATATATGAATGTAATCCTTGATGTTATAATAATGATGACCAAATGTTGTTCAATACCCATATTGGCCATTGCTCTTTTTTAGATTTCCGTCCTTTTATGGTTTTGAGTTTGCTAGCATTGGTTTGTGATGATGTTTTTGGTACTGTGGCTGATGCAACCGTAGAATCGACGGATTCATTTAAACTTATGTTGTCGGTGGATGTAACACTATCAAAGATGGAGTTTAAAAATTTTCTAATTTCCGCATATGGCAAGGAGTGCCACCAATTTGTCGTTGTAATTTCCTCTTTCGTTTGGGCGGATGCAAGTATATTTTTGTCGGAGTTCGTGTTATAGGGTGTCGTAGCAGGAAAGGATTGTGTTTTTAGTAAATTGTTAAATATGTTTTCTGTTTTATCGTTGGGTCGTCCTCCAGCATCATCAATTTCGTCATCTTTATTTGGTGTCTTTATTCCAGACATTGAGTTTGGGTTGATGTCGTTCTTGATTATCATTCCATTTCCTTTATTTAGATAATCCTTTTTATTGTATTTATTATCGGCCATTTCATGTTTGTCATGTGAGGATGTTGCTGTTCTAGTCATAACGTTTGATTCGCTCTTTGATATGTCGTGCAATTTATTTTCAATTGTTGACATTTCATTTATCCCTCCCTCATATTGTGATGTTTCAACTTCATTATTTGTACTGTGTTGTACTGTTGACCCATTGTCATTGTTTCCATTTTCAACAACTCTGTCATTATCACTATTCTTGTCAGTTTTTTCATTTATAGAGCCCTTGTTCTCTACCTTCATTTCTAATTTCATGTTCTTTTCATTGGAATAAGTAGTTGTACCTTCGTCATTAGCAACATCTATATCATCTGCAGCATTAACATATACATCGATATCATCATCAATATCAGCAACAGCATTACCGTCGTCAGCATTAGCATTCTTCTTCATGGGAAGATTGCCGGATTTACTTAAACTGTCATTATTCAGTTGATTGTTTTTAAACGTTGACCACTTGTTTTGTTTGTCATTTCCAATAATTTTTTCGATTACAGCACTACTGTTGTTTAGTTTAGTTTCTCCTACTTCTTCTGATTCAAATTCTACTGATGGTGGCGATGGAGATGATGGAATTGAAAATGACATAGTTCCTGTATGACAATTGACTGTTGATGTTATATCTTCTTGTATTTTTTGCAACCTAGATTCCTTAACATTTTTATTATCGTTTATGTTCTTATTTTCATCTTCTGTTTGTTGTTGAAGTTCACTTGTCTGTGTTGAGTCTTGCAGAGAATTTCCTATTAAAGCAATTAATTCGCTAAGATGGTCGGATTTCTCCTCAGGCTTTAAAATTGTTACTTTTGCAGTATTGGCGAGATCATTAGAGACCGTGTAAAGAGGACCAGAAATTGAGGTCTCATATGGTATATTTTCAATTATAATGGATGGTTTTTCATAGGAACTTGATTGAGTTAACCATACCACTTCAGTAACTGTTTCAGTATTTTCATTTGGAGGCGTAAAATCATTCGTTATGTTATCTTTTAAACCCCAAGAATTATCGACTGTCGTAGTTGATGGTAAATCAACATCGCTTTCGTTGAAGTCATCTGTGAGTGCAGTTGAATCGCCTATAAAATACTGTGAATCGGATAATTCATTAGTTTCCGTTGTAAACTCTTCATGGGTTGTAACATCTTGAACAAAATTGGATGTTCCATTATTATAAAAAATTTCAGAAGAATTACTTTGTGGTATAATGTCATTATTGAACGATTGGGTTGTATATGAACTGGAGTTTGCCAAGTCTGCTGTTACTAAAATATTTGAAGTCTCGGACGTCGCGTCTTCACTACTGTCATAGTCTTCATCAACCTTTCTCTCACTTGGAATTTTAGTGTATGATGTGTCTAAATTATCTTCTTCGTATGAATCTGCAAAAGTATTATGGAACGAGTTTTTTCCAGATATACTGTTAACGTCAATTGGTACATTGTTAATTGGAGAAACATCTGTGATACTATTAACAATATATTCTGATTCAAAATCATTGTTATTTAGATTGTCTAACATGTAATTTTTAAAACTAGCAGCTGTAGAAGATGTCTCATCAGCTTCACCATTACGATCAATATTTTCTGATGACATTAAGTTTTCGTTATGACTACCTAGAGCATCTGGATTGTCCGCGTCTTCCATTTCAAAATTTGTATCTTTAATTAAATCTACTAAGTTAATTTTAGTTATATTAGAAGCTTCAAAATTGGACCTGTTTGAAATATCGGGAAACTTTAAAGTTAATATCGATTGCTTGTTAGTATTATTATTTGAATCAGTGTTAATATCTAGAATGGAGGTTGAAGTTTCGATGAATTCATCTTCATCGTTATCTTCCATGAAGTCTTGTAAAGAAAATGTGGTTTGGGAAGTTTCGACTTCAGCTAAAGCCATGTTATTTTTGTGTTCGTAAGATATATTGTTTGGTAATGAGTTTACGGTAGATCCATCAATAGTAATATTTGGAGTTTTGGGCAAATTGTTTCTTATTGATTCGATTAAATATGTGGATAATATTTTATGTTGTATTATGTTAGGATCGTTAGTATCGTTTGAAAAATCTTTTTTAAGCTGTTGGGAACTTACTCCCAATAATTTACGGTTATTATAATCGTCTAAGGATTCCAGTGTGTATGAATTATTTTGATCTTCTTCAAATGCCAAAGTCCCATCACTTACTGGTTCAGATGGTAATATTTGTTTAGTTTCGTCTTTGGTTTGTTGCTTGTTTTGTAATAAAAACGAAATAGTCGAATTGCCAGAATCTTTAGGCCCATTTCCGAATTGACTTTTGAGTGAGTTTCTTTCTGACTGAACTAGAACTTCAGAATTAGTTTCGTTTTTTTGTACTATATTTTTTAAATAAACATCTGTGGCTTTGTCTGGTAAGAGAGTATTTTGTACATTAAATTCTTCGATATTGTTTCCATAATTATTCCGAACTGCAGGTGTCGTTGTGGTAAAACTTAAATATTCTTCGTAATTATTGTTATCTTCTGGAATTGTTGTGGTTTCCATTAGAGGATTGTTAGTTGTTTGCATTGCAAGTCCTTTTGCTTCTATTTCTTCTTTAAGCGATGTAGTAATGTTTTTAGTGGGTGAAATGTCGGATTGGTACATTTCAGTGGTTAACAGTTCAGATTGATTTCTCAAAAATTGTATATCGCTGTTTCTATTTTTAACTGTATCAATTATCAGGGAATTATCAGCATCGTTTATATTTATTATTATACTATTATTTTTTTGAGTAATTGTTTCTGATGATTTTATAATATCAGTGTCTGAATGGGGAACTACAAGGATTGAATCTCTGTGTATTGAAAAGTTTGTACTTGAATTATTGGAAATTTCTGTTGTAAGTTTAATTTTTTCTGTTGTAACTGGTAAATCATTTGTTGGAATTTCAGTTGTTTCTTGTGGGGCTTCAGTTGTTGGGGATTCATCGTAATCTTCCCAATCAGTAGTAATAGACATACTGGACAGCGGTAATATTTGTTGAGAGGTTTCGACACTAGATTGAGTAGACTGTTCTATATCCATTTCTGTTAGATTACTCAGATGTTCAAAATAATCGATTTCATTTGAATAATCTACATTATCATTTGGGGAGATATAATTTTTTAATTGAGTTGTTTGATTGATTTTAAAACTTGCTGAAGATAGAATTTTACTTTTCAGAATTTCAGTATTTATGGCAGAATTCATATAATCAGATTTGTTAATGTTATTTAACACTTCTAAAATATTAGAGGCCGTTGTTTCCACACTTATATTCTCAGATTCTTTTTGAACTTCGGGAATATTTGTTGTAGATAATACTTCAGTAGATTCATAATTTTCTGTAGATTCATTAGAAAAATCTTCGTCTGATACTGGATTGGAAATATCTATCGCAATGTGAAGTTGAGAAGTTTGATCTTGCAATTCACTGGAATCATTAAAAGTATATTCCGTTTCATTACTTAAAAGTTGGTCATAATCAGGCAGTTCAGTCGTTTGATCAATAAGAAATTCTTTATATTTATTTTCAGAAAAACCTTGCGTTTTGTGGTTCAAAATCCCATGATTAACAAAATCTTCATCTATGATATGAAAATCAGTATGACTGCTGGTATGATTTATGTTTTTCTCTATTGCGTTCGTATTATTAATTTCATCGTTCATATGTTCTTTTTGGTTGTCTGTAGTATTTTTCGAATGTGAAAAAATCTTTGAGTTAGGAAGTTTAGTATCGTTAACACCTTGATAGATGACTCCATCAAAGTTAGATGTTGTTGGCTGTTCTGTTGTATTCATAAAATGTAGTGATTCTGTAGCCAATAAGTATTTAGTAACTAATTCATTTTTATGGTTTTCTTCTCTATTAATTTTATTGGATGAATTTAAAATTTCTTTTAAAATCTCAAAATCGTCGATTTCACTTTCATATGATTTTATGTCTTCAGGAGATTCAGTGGTAAAATAATTTTCATATTTTTTAGATGTCCCTTTTGGAGTTGTTAATTCAAGGTGTTCAGATTGTTGAAAAATAAGTGTAGTATCGCTATAAGGCATTTCTGTGGTTAAATCTGCAATTTCATCGATAAGTGGTATCGGTAAATCGATTTCATTCGGCAAGTCTAAATTCAAAAGATAAAACAAATCATGATTATTAATATAATAAAATGAGATTGAAATTATCAGATAATTTTTTTTTTAATAAATGAAGGTATGCGCTATTTTAAAGCACCTTATTATCTCTTATGATATTTAGATTTATACACATACATATATATGGGCATTTCCATTAAAAAGTATATTTTTTGTCACATCACGTCACGCACATTAATTGACAATATCTTAGGACCATTCTTTTTGAGATCTACAGAAAAATACAAACAATTTAAAAATATGTACATATATATTTCTTCCCTAGATATAGGCAGTAAATGGTGCGTGACGTGATGTGACAATAGTAGACTTTTCGGTGGAAATACCCATATGTATGTGTGTATTCAATCATATATTACTAACCTTTATTTTCTTTTGTCATTGGTTTAATTAAATAGATGTTATTTGTAACATTATTTTGTTTGGCAATATTTGTTTCCTTTTCAAGTCCATTGGCAGAATGTGTTAATTTGTATTTATCCATTGCTGTATTAGTGTGGGCAACATCAATATTTAAATATTCATCTTTGTTGCCCTTGAATGAAGTCATTGAGTTTTCAGTGGCTTCAGAAATACTTTTAATGGTATTTGGCGTTGAATTTGTAGTTTTTACATTATTTTCCGCAAGATTTTCAACGATATAATGACTTAAATGATCTAAATTTTTTGTAGTGTTAATGTTTAAATATTTATGAGAATTGTTTTCAAAATTTGAGCTTATATTAAGCTTATTTTCATCTCTGATCAATGCACTAAGAAAATAATTTGATTGCGATGTATCTTTCACTGAAATAATATGATAGTCTTGAGATATATTTCGGTTTATATCCAGAAGGGGAATGTTGGTTTTCGTTTGCGAATATTTCTGGGAGAAATTTGTAATCTGTGTTTCATTAGAAATATTGTCAATGTTAGCAGTATTGTTGTGAATAGTATCGGTGCCAAAAGTATTTGTTGGCCTTTCCAAATTAACTTCAGTAGTTACAATGTTTTTCTTCATTATTGATTCCATGTTTTGTTTTGTAAGTAGGAGAGAATTTTTCAAATCAGTAAATGTTTGCAAATGTGGATTTATTTGAAGATGTAAAATGTTCGGTGTTGTTTTGTTGTTTCTATTAATTGACAAATCTTCATTATTATTCAGCTTAGAGAGAGAATTACTAGTTTCCATGGTTGACATATCAGTCGTAGTATTTGGGTTAAAAATTCTTGTGATAATATTTTCAGATGCAGCATTTGACATGAGTTCTATATTTGAATTTAATATTGTTATGCTGCTTTCATTGTTTTTATTTGAAATGTTGTTCATATTATTTGTTATTTTAATTTCGGGAATGTGTACAGATGATTTTTCTTCTATGTTTTGATTTTGTTGTAAATGTATTGTCTTGAGAAATTCTTCAAGACTAATTGGGGCTGAGTAATTGTATTTTGTTCGTGATAATTCTTCACTAACATTAGTCTCTATTAAAGCCTCAATCGCTTGTGATTGTGTAGCATTTGAAACATTTCCATGTGGAGTGTTTGATTGATGAGTCAACGAGATTTTATGTAAAATTTCTGTATCATTGCTGCTATTATTCTTTATATTTTTTTCCGAATCTTGATTGTTAAACTTACTTTCCATTTCTGTCATGTTATTCAATGGAGTTTGGGAGGAAACATTTTTCGTTCTTTCTTGCACTTGTTGAAATTGTTTAAATTTCTCAGCATTTTTTTGTAAGAACTCCAATTGCTGTCGTATCTTTTGGGCACTAGTGGGACTTGTTGTAATTCCATTTGCAATATTTGTTAGATTTTTTGTTTTGGTCATATCATTCAATGGTGCATCATAATCGATAGGTAAATCTTTAATTACTGAAATCTGTTGTGGTTCGAGTACTATGTTGTTATTATCTATTGAATTTGATGGATTATGGGAAAATAAATTTTGAGGGTCGTTGTTAGGTGTTTTTTCTAGATAATGTTCTGTACTAATATCATGAGGTTTTTCCGCATGACTTCTAAGCACCAACTCCTCCATTAATTGTCTTAATCGTAAGTCATACTCGACATCATTCATATAAGGTTTCGAAAAATTGTCTTGTGATTTTGAGGAGATCTGTATCTGTTTGATGGGTTTCGGTAGGGTATAGAGTATGGGCTCATTATGTATAATATTTCCCTTAGATCTATGAGATCTTGATTTAATATTTTTTCGTCTGCCATTGCGGCCTATATTATTAGGTAGAGATTTCGCTAAAATTAAAAAATATTTTTTTATTAGGTTGGTTTCTGAGACTTTCTACGAAAAACATTTTATGATTTAATGACACTTTTGCTATCAATATAACTTTTTTACAACATACCATGGGCACAAATTGTTAGTGATTCAATAAGCAAAATCGTTAAACTTAAATATAAAAATTTTCGTGTGATTAACATTTTATTGCACAAGTATTTTTATAGATCTTAATTACCAAATTAAGATTAAAAGAAATTAAATTATTTTCACATCTGTAAACAAGTTGTTGTTTTATGAAATATACTCTACTAACTGAAAGAAATTAAGATTTTTCAACACAATTTTATGCCCTTTTAAAGTATTGAGATGTTGTCATCTAGTCGTATTTGGGTCAATTCATATGAATGAAAAAAGTAAAACATTTCCATAAATTCTAGAACAAAGTGATATATAAATAAATGTTTCTTTATTTGATTTCATTTTATTTATTTTCAATCAAAACCGTTAACTAAAACTCACAAACATTCTCTTTTGTACACATTTATACTTGATAAGATTCATATGATGGGACGGACGAATGAATGGTATTAGTGACTTTTAAGCTTGTATTTATTTAAAAATGTTAAAATTGTGCTGGTGACTTTACAAAACAAATATTTCAAATAATTCTTCTTCTATTGCCATTACTATGAACCATCATGAACATGCGCTACTCAGTTAGCTTTTGCTGTTACTGATTACAACGATGATGATGTTGTTGACGCTGACATGTGTATTCGGAGAAGTTCAAACCGTTTTGTGAACTGTTTTCCATTTTTAGTTGATATTTAAATGTATAAAATAAAAACTGCTAGCAAAATGAAACTATGTTCGGTTTTTGGATGCGTTACATCTGAAAACGAACAAATACTCAGATAGAAATTTACATACATACATACATATGTATGTACGTATGTGCTACATAATAGTTTAAAGAGATCCCAATAAACCTTTTAGGGTTAAAATTCTGGCTTTCAAAAGCGATCAAAAATTCATAGAATTCATAGAATTTTAGATTTTTTTCATAATCGGTGTCGTTTGGTTGTCCACCCAATTTCCATTGCGCTGTTTTAGTTTCAAAATTTTTTTTTGAAATATGTACATATGTATAATGATAACATAGAAAAATATAAAAATTATTGGGAATTGGGCTAATATATAGTAAGATATGTATATGTTAATGAATAATATTTTAATAAATTAATAATAATAAAATATTAAAACTTATATTTATTTGTTAAAAAATGATTTTAGATTTAGAAAACTCATTGTTTGCTGGGTTTTATTTTATTTTTCTGAGTGTGTTTTTTATGGAAAATATCTTGTACTATGTTAATTTACATAATTCTAACAGTTTTTGTTTAGTTTTTTGTTAAACCATTTCATTCTGGAATTCACAGCAACAAGACAAATAGCTGGCTTAGAAAGACGCATGAATAAATTAAAAGAAGAATATAAAAAGAATCACACACACAAACAAATTGTATGTCACTTTTTTGGGTCAGCTCAATAAAAAAGGTCGATATGTTTTTTAAATATTAATGAATATTTATTTACTGGTGTCATTTATGTATTTTAAAATCAGCAGCACGTCTGTGGTAGATTTACCTTTCAGTTTTTACATTTTTATTTTATTATTCCCAAATAGGGAATACTACTTGTACGATTATTAAGGAAGGTCAAGATAAACCAGTTGTATACGAGTACTCTCTATAATTAATTAAATAAATTTATCAACTTTTTCGTTATTTATTAAATAAATTTAACAAATTCGCACATTTCTTGCTCATTTACTATTACATTAACTAATTACAATTTTCAACCGGAAATGATACCAAATTGAATTAAAAGAAATTTGTACACATATCACCACGAAGGCTTGAATGTAACAAAGAGCGTTTATATCGAAGACGTTTTTTCATTCAATTAACAGTTTAGTATTGTTATCGCATTTGAGCAAATATACAGATTGAAAATTTTTTAAATAGTCAAGAAACTGGAAATATTTATGCCTAAAATATAAAATAGCTCAAAGATTAATACAAAACAGTGACAATTTATAATACCTATTTTTATTGGTATTTGCGATTGTACTGGGTAAATTATTCGCTGTCTGCATTTTGTTATTATCACTTATAATTTTTTCACTTCCATGTTATTCCACAGTTGCTGCTGTTGTCATCATTGACATAATTTTTATTTATATACATTATCAGTGTGATGATTCTTTTATAATCACTTGATACAAACATTTTTCAATCCATCCTTACATATATACATACATACATATATTTATGTATCTGTTGTAGATTCCTTGAGTTGTTTTTGTTGTGTCATTTGTTAAATAACCATAATTATAAGATGTTTAATTTTCTTTAATTTTGCGATGCCATTTTTATGTTTATTTTCCTTTTCTATAAGAATGAAGGAATACCACGTCTTGGCATGTTTATTTTTATTCTTATTTTAGCGTAGAATTCCATTAATCAAATTAAAATTTCTAAAGTTGGTCGGATGGTTGATTGTATGAAATTCTTCTTTGTTTTTGTTCTATGTGGCATTAAAATCTTAAACAGCTTTACTAGTTTACAAAAAAAATAAATAAATAATAAAAACAGAAACAAGTTGAAAAAATTAATTACAATGAATGAAACATTATTGTGCCATGGTACAACACATCATTAAAAAATGAATTTTCTGTTTTATCTTTATTACTTCGTCGTGCAATAAATATTTAGTTAATATATAGTATGAATGGGTATCATGTCCCATCATTTGCTTTTTTCATGCAAATCATTTTTGTGTTTTATTTAACGCTAATGTTTATCAAAGGATGAACTTGTGACAGGGGTTTAATGATAATTTATTTATCTTTTTAAAATCGTATAATAGTTGTCATTTTATTATGAATTTGAGATCGTCGCTTGAATTTTCTAATGAAATTATAAGATTTTCAATTGTTTAAATTTTACATACATATGACACGATTTTTGCCATCAAATATTTGTTTACCTATTAAGCGATTATGGCCGTCATATACATATATGAGGTTTATAATGTAATAGTTTCAATTAATCACATTAAATAAATCTGTGTAAAAATTTTCCGAAATATTAAAACATTTTTAATAATTTAGGAGTCATATACAAAATTGTTTTTTGAAATCGTCTCTCAAAGACCTTTCATGTCATACCAAATTTGCCAGAGATATCAGAAAAACCTTAAAAAGGACCTTTTAATGCTCACCAAATATTGACGTCAGGACAAACATTTTGAGAATTGGTATGTTAGAATGAACTCAATTTTCATTTTCGGTGGGAACTTCAATTTTGGGGCACCCTAATATACATATATCCTTTATATTTTATCAAAAAAATTAAAAAATGGGGTGTATATTGATTTTGTCATTTGTTTATAATGTCCGTCCAATATAGGATATATATATCCTTTATATTTTATCAAAAAAATTAAAAAATGGGGTGTATATTGATTTTGTCATTTGTTTATAATGTCCGTCCAACCGTCTGTCTTTTGATAAGACGATAGAGCTATATGCATATGCGTAAATGGTAGCAAACTTTCATTTTCAATGACAAATTTATATATACTCTTCTATAACTAAGTCAGCTTCTCATGTAATATGTTCAGCTAATTTCTCTACACGCCATTCCTCCACACGATGACTTCAAAATAATCACACTGCGTTATTTGGTCAATTGTACTCGTATAAAAATGTTTTCTAGTAATCCCCCAGACGTGCTTTGGTTCTTCTTATTTACATACATATTCACAATTAAAAAAAAACTCCATATTCTGCGTCATCATCAGCAGTGAAATACATACTATTTGCTGTTGGCTACTATTGGTAATACTACTGTTCTTGGTACACAATTTTTTTTTTTGAATGTATGTGACCGAACTGAGTTTATTTAGTCTTCCAACTGTGTTTTTAATAATACAGAAAAACACGACAAAAATGTTCTAGTGATGCAAACGCATCACACAACAGGCTCAACTAATAAACAATATTAAACTGAAACCATTCTCCAATGGCAACAGCAACAACTATGCCAATCGTAAAACAAAATATTTACAATAGTTTTAGTTGTTGTACATATTTGTTTTTTATTTTTGTTGCTATATGTATGTATGTAATTGCTGACAATTGCTTGCCCCAAAGCAGCAACTAAAGAGTGTAAGAAATAGATGATTATGATGGGTCTTTTGGTTGGTTGGAGGGTATTGCAAACGTTCATTCAGACCAGCCATGTAATGGCTGCTAAAGTAATTCTATATCACTCAATTGAATTGAATGTTTGTGTGAATGAATGCGTGACTGTTTTACGACGAGAAAATCAACAAAAAAGCAAAAACTTTTATGGACAATTTTTATCATTTGGCCATTAGTTAGTATTTTGGTCCTTTTTGTTTTATTATTTTACTGCCATTGCGAGTATTCGTTTGTACGTTCCTTCCATTGTTTCAGTTTGATTGTTGTCAAAAGTTTTAGTGTTAATAACTAAAACGTGATGGTAATTGTCCAGGCGGTATTAATGATGATGATTTCTATTTACTTACAATTTGCATTTTATTTTTTACATTTTTTCTCTTTAGTAAAAATGTTAATACTTTTTTTCGTTTACTTACATACATAGAATGATTCTGTTTTACATTTTCAATTTAAAACGTTTTCATAATATGTAGTTGAATAATGATTACATAATACATTTTATGGTAGTAACGTGCTTTAGAAACATTAAAAAAATTGTGTAAAATTGTTCATATTCATATTGCAATTTATAGAATTATACCTCTATTTTTCGCTTTAGGTCACTACTAATGCAAAAATAACTTTGATAAGGAAAAATATAAGGTCTATAACATTTATATTTTTCATTGGATACAAAATCCATTCTTATATTACTTACAAATACTATTACATGGCGTTTAACTAGTAAAATTATTTTAACATAAATCCTAATGAGTCTTTATTCTGGGTCTGGTAATGTATTATTTGACTGATTAAAGCTATAAAATGCATGATTGGTGATTATTCTTTGACAACTAAAATGTTTAAAAGAAAATTTAATGGTCGGTATAAAAATTATAAAAATGAGGTTATAATAACATGTCACTAGAAAACTTTTATTGTGTATAAATA